GAAAGAGCTAAACATACTAGAGCCGTGAAACTCACGTGTCTCTCACCAGCTCACAGCCTCCCCACAGCTCCCCTCTCAGGCCCTTACTTTGCCTGTCTTAGCCAGTCTTGCTCACCTCCTAGGCCTCCCTGACTCTCCTCTGACTTTCTGTCCTAATTTGAACACACCAGCTCCTTTCTCTCAGGGCTGATATATTTGCTGTTCCTCTGCCTGGATCATTCCTAGTCCCAGTTTTTTGTTTTTTTTTTTCCTACCCTTCAGCCTCAGCTCAAATGTCAGTCCTCGAAAAAGTAAAAATAATTACCTTTTCTGACCTTAAGTGTTGCCATTCGAAACCTGCTGCCCTCACCATCTACCACGTCAGTTGTCCTTATTGGTTTTCTTGTTTATTTGCTTGTTTAGTGTTTCTTCTACTCAATGATTAGTTCCAAAAAAGTTTATTTGTTCATGCATTATTTTTAAGGTAGGATTTCACTGTGTCTGAATAGAGTTTCCCAAGTGGCTGGGACCACAGGACCTTTTTAGGGTGGGCCAGGATTCCAGCCCAGACCAGCCATGTGGCTTCAGCCTTCCAAGCAGCAGCATCCATTTTGTGCTACCATGGCTGGGCCCAAAAGTCTGGTTTTATCAGCATTCTAGTCATAGCTCCTGGAGTAAAAATGTGTGGAATGGTACTGGTGTCAGATGGGCCAGTTTTTATCTTGAACTCCAACATGTCTAGCCTACGTGACCTTCAGCAAGTTATTCCACTTCTCGTAGTCCGTCAAATGGAGATGAGAACGCTTGGCTGGCAGGATTATTCTGAGGCTGAAGACATACTGTTCTTTTTTTTTTTTTTTGAGAGGTTTTTGCTACAGGACACGTGCACTCACCAGAGAGACAGAGAGAGACAGAGAGAGAGAAATTTTATCAGCATTCTAGTCATAGCTCCTGGAGTAAAAATGTGTGGAATGGTACTGGTGTCAGATGGGCCAGTTTTTATCTTGAACTCCAACATGTCTAGCCTACGTGACCTTCAGCAAGTTATTCCACTTCTCGTAGTCCGTCAAATGGAGATGAGAACGCTTGGCTGGCAGGATTATTCTGAGGCTGAAGACATTCTTTTTTTTTTTTTTTTTTTTGAGAGGTTTTTGCTACAGGACACGTGCACTCACCAGAGAGACAGAGAGAGACAGAGAGAGAGAAAGCAAGAAATCACCCCCCAGGGAGGATGGCCATGCCGCAATCCCTTCTCCTCCATTCTCCTCTCGGGATCTTGGGCATGCATGCACACGTGCCTGGCGTGAATTTAAGCCACCGGGTCCAGGACTTGAACCACGCTCGGACTTCATGGGAGTTCAGCGACATAGCCATTATGTTAACTGCTGGTCCCAAGACACTGTTCTTAAAGGTTCTGATCTGTGACCAGAACTAAGTGATTGTGCAAAAAAAGGGAGCACCCAGTACCCCACCTCTTCTGTGAGCCCTCTCTCTCAGGCTCTCTGCTCTGGCTTGACCTGACCACAGGTTCTCTGACCTGAAGAAGGATTGGGGCTCTGAGGACAAGTGTCAGTTCCAATTGCAAACCCTCAGCCGAGTTTAAGCCCTGTATTCCAGGCTAACACAATAACCTCAACTTAGGGTTCCACCTTAAACTCAACATGTCCAAGACAAACTCAGGCCTCTCTTTCATCTCATACATCAAACCCAGCAGAAAGTAGATGAGACCAATCAGCCAATTAACATAACCAGTTCACAGTGAAGAATCTGATAGAAACATTGTTAAGACTTGAATGAGAACTGAAATTGCAAGAAGTCTGAGTCTTTGTCCATGGGCAGGGGAGGAAAGCTGAGTTCTTTCTAGAGCTTCATGGTTATTTCTAGAAGTTCCAGAGCAGACAGACTGGAGAAGCTGTGGGCAGCCTTCTAAGAAGAACTCACCACACCACCCACGGCCTTTTCATTAACCACAGCACATAGGACAGGCTGAGGCCCTGCAGTGTTTCTTTTTTTTTTTTTTTTGCTGAGACAAATTAGCACAAATTTAGAGACTGAAAACAGCACAAGTTTATTATTTTACAGAAGTCTGAAATGACTTTCACTGAACTAAAGTCAAGGTGACAACAGAGCTATGCTTCTTCTGGACCCTCTAGAAGATAATCCACTTTCCTGCCTTTTCTGGCTCCTAGAAGCCACCTGCATTTGTAGGTTCATAGTCCCTTTCCCCATCTTCATAATCAGCGGCATAGCATCTGACCTCTCTGACACTCACTCTCTTGCCTCCTCACGTGGTTCCTTGTGATTATACTGGGCCTACTGGATGGTCTCCCCATCTCAAGCACCTTAACTTTAATACATTTACAAAGTCCCTTTTGCCATGTCAGGTAACATAGTCAGAGGTTCTGGGATTAGGATGTGAATATCTTTGGGGGGCCATTATGCTGCCTCCCACAGATCCTAAGCAGGATGAGCTTGGTTTGGGGGTACCAGACTTGAACTCAGCCTCCTACCTCTCTATCGACTCTGTTCAAAGTAGAACTCAGTGCGGGCTGAGGGCTCACTCTCCTTGGCCAGCCGGTTTTTTTTGGCCACAGAGGACCCAGCCAGGCCAGGCAGCAGCTTCGAGCCTAAAGGTGGATCCCACACTACTCTGGAAGAAGGTGAAGCGCGTGGCCTGTTCACCACCCTTGTACAGGTCCTCGATGTTCACATCCTGTGGAGGCAAGGTAGTTGACTGCGGGATGAGGTGTTGATGAGACATCAGCCCTATAGGCCTCTGGGGCTTAACCAGAGAGGGGCTTGGCAGGGCAGATCTACCCAGAGATCTGCCTTCTGCAGACTTAGGAGAGCAAAGGTTTTGGTGCTGAGTACAAAGGGAGATGATAAAAGCCTGAGAGGGGAGTTCACGTGGACTGGATGGGAATCCAGAGATGGGTACAGAGATCTCAGAGCATCCTGGGCACCAGGCTAAGTCTGAAGCATCCCCCAGAATAGGGAGGAGTCTCTCACCTCCAGCTGCACAGTAGGCCCATCCCTTGTCTCCACGCATGCCAGGCAGCAACTCCCTCCCTGGATCCCCAGGAGGATGGGGACCTTGGAGCGGTCCAGGCCTCTGTTGGGAAGTATGCAGATCTTCTCTGGCAGGAAAGAGAAAAGAGAGCCAGAAGATGAGGAGACCTCAGGTCTTAGACTCTTGGTGAGCACTGGCTCAGGCAGAAGGAAATGAACCTGGGCACATCTAGCCTGGGTCTGCATACAGACTGCAGAACGAGCTAGAACTCCTGCAGGGACCATGCTTCCTCACTAGGAGAGGCTGTAGCTGTCCCTGCTTCTTCTCATTGTTACCAGGAACAACTGCTGACCCCAAGGAGAAAGGAGAGCCTGCAGTAGATGGGGCATGAGGTAAGTCCCCGGGCTGGGGGCAGAGGGGTTGAGCCCAGAACCTCACCTGCAGAGCAGTTGTCTGCTTCAGAACCTCCTACCAGGAGCTGGCCGTCTCTTGCATACAGAGCTTTCTGATTGGCATCTTTAATTCTGGAACAGAATGGTGGTATTCATGGCTCTCTCCCTTGGGCAACACTGAGCCTCCCAGTCCTTCCACCCATCCACTTTGAAGTGCCACACTGAGCATCTGGGGGAGACTTTTCCACAGGTAAGAAATGGGGCACTACTCCACTAATGCAGGCAAAGACCAGGTCAGTCTTAAGACCAGGGAGGTCTCTGGGCCAGCTGGTGATTTTCAGAGCCTGCATATCCTGCCTTCACCAGGCTCAGGCACACTTCAGGAGGAGCCAGGGACCTGACTTGGTCTCATAGAAGGGTAAAGAAAGTTTTTCTGGTTTCCCGAGAAATTTCCTAGTGAGGCTCAGAGGTCTTTGAAATACAATGAGTTTTATTCCAGATTTCTGGGCCTGTCCCAATTTTCATAGATGTTTATTCTTTTCACCAAATGGATTAATTGAGTGCTTAATGTGATGTGATTTACTTTTAGGATATTTCAAGTACTTTTTATAGGGGAAGTTTGAAAATTAGAATAAACTATCCCATGGGACAGTCAGTATGCACAAGTCCATTGCACCTCAGGGCAGGGCAAGGTGTGCTCTGGGTGAGTTAGTGTTCTGGGTGCCCAGTGTAGGGAGCTGGCACAGGGCCTGATTATAGTCATTTGGGGGCGGCTGTGGTCCAGATGATCAGCCAAGAAGGGCAAACACATCCTGGGGAAGCTGGGAGAAAGTGTGGTGAGTGTGTGGAACATCAGAGTCCTGCAGGCTGCCTGGCTGGTTTCAGAGATGCCTGTCAGCTGCTCTCAGGGCCTGGGGAGCTCTCGGTACCTCGCAGGGCAGAACAGCTGGACCAGTGCCATCACCTCCAGGAGATTTCTCTCTCTCAATAACTGTTAATTATAGCTAATGATTGTACATGTTTAAAGCAGGTTTACTTGCATAATAAATATAAAGGCCTAAAAAGAACTTAGGCTTGTCATCTGGATTTCCCTTCAGATTTTGACAACCAAAGTCTGACAACACACCAGCCAGTGACATCTTGTTCGGGTGCCAGAGCCCAAGCGAGGTATTCTATTTTGTCATTTGCATGCTTTGTGAGTAAGCATCTTTCCTTCCCAATCAGGCTGTCACTTCCTCGGGGTCAGGAGACAGCCACCTCCTCAGCCTTGTCAGGACCCAGGGGAGGAACTGAGGAAATGTAACTCAGAGATCCATCCTACTTCACTCTTAAGGCTCATCTCATTCCTCACAGAATGCACAGATAATGAAGTAGTAAACTATGAGTAAGGATGCAATCTCAAATGAGATAAAAATGCAAATAAGGGACCAGCTGGCATAATGGCTATGTCACTGGACTCCCATGTAGACCGCGGTTCGAGTCCCAGACCCAGTGGCTTAAACTCACACTGGGCACGTGTACATGTGTGCCCAAGATACCCAAAGGAGAATGGAGAAGGGATCGCTTTCTGGCAAGTGCACGCGCCCTGTAGCAAAAACCTGTAAAAAAATTTTTAAAAAGTTAGAAGCTAGGAGTAAAGGCCACAGAGACCATCATACAAATGTTGTCAATGAGATTCAAAATTGGCTCTGAACTTTCAGAGCGGTAAGGAGCAGCACAGAGGATGTGCTTTCTGATCCCTGCTCTGCCCTGTTCTCCTTCTGTCTGTGATGTGGGGGAAGATGTTTAACCTCTTTGAGCCTCAGTTTCTAGATATGAAAAATGGAGTTAGAGTTTAGAGTTCTTAGGATAGAGGTGAGCTGGTAGAATGTCTGGGATCTTGCAGATGCTCAGCAAAAACAGCTATTACAGGGAGCTTCATCCCTCTGACTCAGCCTTCCTTCCCTCTTCCCATGTGACCCTCAGATCTCCTGATTGGGAAAGCTGGGACACACCAGGACAACTTACATGTAGTATCTTGCCATGGGCAGAGAGCACATTCCTGCAATCAAGGGTGTCTGGTTCTTGCTGAGGGGGAGAGAAAAGGGCTATTAGAAAAGGAGGTGGCTGGAGCTGGGGACAGACGTACTGGAGCTCAGAATCACCCAAACACAAGCTGCGAAGGTGCCTACTCCTGCCAGAATCCACTAAGGTTTACTCTAGCTCACCAAGCTCCAGGCAGCCCTTTACCTTCTTCATTGGGACAGTCCAGAGCAAGTCAAGCCAGCAGGAGTGTGAGCACTGGAACTTAACGAGGACACTGGCCAGGCCTGGGAGTTGGGTGGAGTGTGCTGTAGCTTCACACTGTGAGAATAAGCTCAGTTCAAACCCAGCCTCACTACTCAGCCTGACCTGAGAGTCACCACACTCCTGTTCCTCTACCAGGAAACCAGAGGGTTGGGAAGAGCAGCACCATCAGGAGGAACCTCCAATTGCAAGTGGAGCTGGTCACTGGAATCGCCTTGCCAAGACTGTCAAAGAGAATCCAACCAAATGCCTCCATTCTGTTCCACGTGGAAAATAAGACAGACATGAGATGTGTGTTTTTAAGGTGGACAATCTAAAGTAAAGATAGTGTTCCTTTGTGATGTTGAGATTACACACACACACACACACACACACACACACACATATATACATGTATTTCCCAATAACCCAATACATAATCTTAAACCTCTTGGAATCTCCAGAGTGATACGAGTGTCCTTTACATGCTTATGAGATAATAATGAGATGAATGTTGACTGGCAGTCCCTAGGTAGCTTCAGGATGAGGACTTGTTACTGGAATAACCAAAGAATAGTAAAAGGATTGGCACTTTCAGTCCCACCCCGATCTCCAGGGAGGGGAGAGAGACCGAGAGCTAAGTTGATCACCAACAACTAATAATGTAATCGGTCATGCCTATGTAATGATACCTCCATAAAACCCAAAAGGACAGGCTTGGGGTGGTTCCATACAGCTGAACATGAGGCTCCTGGAGGGTGGTGGGCCAGGGAGGGCATGGAAGTTCTGCCCCTTCTCCCATACTTCACCCTATGCATCTCTGCATTTGTATCCTTTATGATATCTTTTATAATAAATGGCTAAGGGTAAGTGCAGTGTTTCCTTGAGTTACATGAGCAGCTCTAGCAAATTAATTAAACCCAAGAAGGGGATTATGGTAACTCCAATTTATATCCAGTTGGCCAGAAATGTAGGTGACAACTTACATCTGTGATTGATATCTGGAATGGGAACGATCTTACAGGATTGAGCCCTCAGTTGGTGTGATCTGACACTAACTTAGGGTGGTAGATAGTGTCAGAATTAAATTAAAAGATAGTCTTCTGTTGTCCACTACAGAAGTGATTATTTGCTGATGGGAAAACAAAACAAAACAAAACCATATTTTGTTTGCCAGAGGTAAAGTGTTGCATGTTGAGTGTGTAAAACAGGAAAAAACACTTCAGGTTTTTCCTTTCTCTCAAACTCCATAAATCCCAGACCATAATACTTTGAACAGCTCCACTTATTCCTGTTGGATTGTCTTGTCCTAGAGCTTCCCCCCACCCCATCCTTCTAAAAAGCCAACCCAGAATCTACTATAGCACGAAATGCAGAGCCAATCAGGGGATGAGGGTGGTAGGAGTGGAATAAGCATAAGTTGAGGATGACTAAGGCTGTGGTTTTCTGAGTAGATCAGGTTGTTACCCAATAAGAAAAGAAAAGAGGAAAAAAAATATAGTAATGCAGAAAATAAGAGATGGCAAAGAAAGAAAGTGGAAACAAAGGAGTGGGACTCCAAGAGAGAGAGAGAGAAAGAGAGAGAGTGATACTGCAGGACATTTGGAGAAGTGAGAGAGGAGAAGCAGGTTAATCCTGAGAGTAAGACAGCATCACCCAATTCCATGGTCTGAGCATTAGAAGAAATAGAGGAAAAAGGACTGTAGCAAAAGTGGCTTTTAGTACTGGATCTGCCACTTGAGATGGGAGTTTAAGAACCAGTGAGTGTGAACAATAACAGAACCCAGATAAACGTGAAAATTCTGGAAAAACGTTGGTGATATGAAACAAATATGTATCCTCTGTATGTTGTGTTGCCCTTATTCTAAGGAGAATGGATTGCCCAAATGTTTTGTTATAAAGATGTTCACTGTATTATTTTTTACAATAGTGAGAAGTTGGAAATCATCTAATTGCCAACTGGTTAAACATTTTCACAAATTCAGTAAGAAAGTACATACACATTAAAAATGATATTGTAGAAGCATACTTTATCACATAAAAATTTTCAAAATACATTAAAGTGAAAAATGCAGATTACAAATAATGTGTACATTATAATTCCATTAAATCTGAGCATCTATGGAGACACATATTCTTAGAAATAAAGACTATTTGCAGTGTTACAACATTTACCTATGGTTGACAGAATTAGGAATGGTTTTTATATTTTTAAAGCATCTCTTAACACTTGTCCTATAATGAGCATTTCGTAGTATAAAGTAAATTTTAATTTTCTTAAAAAAAATGTATGTGAATGTTCAGTTAGGGTCATTGGCTCCCAAACTTGCCTGCTCACCTCAGTTACCTAGGGAAATCTTGGTAAGTGTTATTCCTGGGCTGAAAGTTCTGATTCCTTGAGGTTTGAAATAATTCTGTGATCAGTCAGACTGGGGAACTGTTGTATTAGTCCACTGCTCTTCTCACTAACAAACACATGCATCACCTGCAGCTCTTGTTAATCTGGGGACGGGAGGTAAGATTCTGCACTTCAAACATGCAGTAAGGTGATAATGTCACTGGGTCCCTGGACCACACTTAGAGCAACAAAGAACTTAGATGACTCCCCCTAGCCCAGATGGTCCAAAAGAAGAATGATCTTGATGCAAGCACAGTTGGTATCTTCTCCTTGGCCAAACTACTGGGACTCCCTTGGTGGTGGCAGCAGGACTCTGGACAGTCTGGTAGCTGTGCCAGGGTCCAGGTAGGTCAGATCAAGTGGAGGGCCATGTGTGCAGTTGGGCAAGCAGGCTGATGATTCTCACTCTTGGTCAGTGGCAGCTAAAGAGCCAGCAGAAATTCAGTGCTACCTCTGTTCAGTTGGATCTCCTGTGCCCTAGGAGTCTCCTATTTTACCACAGCCCCAAATTCCAGTGTCTCCCCTGAGGACTCCCATATTGGACTCCCTTTGCCCAGTTTATGGGGAGAGGAAGCTGATTTCTAGTCTCTCAGAAACCCTGGGTTGGGTAAAGCCTGGCGTCTCCCCATGTGCTGCACAGTCATCCTCAAGGCTCCCCCTCCCTACTGTCCCCAGATGCCTTCTCACTGGACTCCCGCCTATATTCCTTTTTCCTTCCTCTCACCTCTCCCTAAACATGATCTCTGGCTACCTTAGACCTCAGTTCACTCACCCTGGACTGAATACCACTGCTAAGTATCCCTGAATTGTGTGTGTGTGTGTGTGTGTGTGTGTGTGTGTGTGTTCTTTCACACATCATACCTGTCTTGTCCTCTCCTCATTTCTTATACATTATCTATGTGGTACCTCTTTTTTCCAAGACCAATATTAACTTAGAAAGAGTCACACCCAGAGACTCTTTTGTGATTCCTTTAATTTTTTTTTTTCTGCCTCCTCTAAACACTTGACATTGGTTAACTCTCTTCACACTTCTTTTCTTCTCAGGCCAACTGCAGATTCTCCCTCTTCTGAGACTCACAGGACAAACTCCTAAGTACTTCTATTTCATATCCCATGGAGTTGCAACTTATCAGCTTCTAGAGATGCAATGATCATCTTGGTCTAAAGCCTCCCAAGCTCAGAATAAACATCCTATTTTATCTCCAGCAGCCTAGAAGACCTTCCACTTTGAATAACTTGCCAATCAAATATATCTAAGGTTCAGTTAATCATCTTCTTCTCCCAACCCACTTATCCATCTCCATTTTATTTTTCTAACTGCGATACTATTTTTCTTATCAGTGAGCTTCAAACTCTAAGAACCATTGGGAAAATCTCCACTTCTCCTGACAATGTCTACTTATGAACAAGTCCTAGATTATCCATCTAAAAATAGAACTTTGTGTTCTTAATCACCATTCCCACTGTACTTGTCTCCTGGTTTTTCTACCTTCAAACCAACCCAACCCATGTAAGGTACCAGGACTCATTTTCTGTGTACTTCTTTCACAACATCCTTGGCCAGTTCTAGAATCTATAATATAATGGCTGTCCATTTTGCCATATTTACCCCTGATTTACTCTATAATACTAACTCATCTCTGTTGTCACTAAACTACTCCTCCAGGTTGTAGGACTTCTTTCTTATCTTCTCAATGTAGAAATTCAGGAGCTGTCTTTGATTTATCTGCTTCAAAAGTCATCCCTCCTTGGGCTGGTCCATGGTTTGGTGGTTAAAGTAGCTGGATCTCACATGGCTGACCATGTGCTTTGAGTCCTATATCCAATGACTTGAGAAATGCACTGGGCACATCTGAATGCTTGCCCAAAATCCCAAAGGGAGGGAGAGATAGAGGAGAAGGGATTGTGGTGTAACCAGCACTCATGAGGGATGTTTTCTCACTTTCCTCTCTCTCCTCTCTCTCTGTCTGTCTACAGCAAGCCCACAACCCTCTGCCAAAGTTATAAAAAAAAAAAAAAGGAGAGTCACCATTCCTCCTTATGTGGTCCATTCAGGTTTTTCAGTATTTAAGATCACTAGACATGAGAATATATTGTATCATCGGAAAAGTCATGATGTATTTTTCTATTTTTTCTATGCAGAAATACATCATGACTTTTCCAATTACCATATCTATATTTATATCTATAGATATAGATAGATAGATAGATAGATAGAATCTAATTCTGTCAAATTAATTATCAGCTCAGACTAACAGCTCAGACATATAGGATTATGTCATTTAATCTCCAATCCTCAGTTTCAGCATCATAAATCCATGGGGTTAGATTGTATGATTATTAAGGTTCTTTCTAGGTCAAAAACTATGATCTCAT